TGTCATACTTCGTAGAACTCTGAAGACGGTCAGTAGGACAAGTGGTATCCCATTGGGCCACATCGTTGACAGTGTCACTGAAAGGCACTTGATGTCATGCAACTAATTTGCTATAGGGATTTTGTCAGACTGTGAGCATCCACTTTACTTAACCTCAGCTCCAACCTTGTGTCTCCTCAGGTAAAACAAGAAGTCATTTCAGAAGACTTTATGCACGTACGTTTAAGTATAAGAATTGCTTTATACCATATTTGGCGGCATGTATTTTATGTGATGAAAATAATGTCAGGCATGAACTAACTAACCTTCTTTGCACTACTAAATAAACAATTTCCTCCACCCTCACAGCACCAAACTTTATGGTTATTGTACTTCTGATATTTACAATACTCCCATTTTTTTCATAAGTGTGAACATAATTTAAGCTGTGTTATAAATGTTAATTTTGTATTTACCCTCACTATGCTATATCAACAGAACATTGGATCCAATAATCTATTACATGCTAAAGTTTCCAAACTGAATCGACAATACTGTTTCAAACAAAATCACTGCTATTACTTATATTATTATTATTATTATATTTATTATTCTCATTATGTACTTCGAATATTTTTGACTCGTAAATGTGGACAAATTCCTCTAGTTAATTTTCTTTTGATTTTTAATTGTATTTATATTTTGAGTAAATCAGATGCAAGGTGTTGTGACAAATTCTGAGAATTCCATTCTGAATTATAAGTACTGTTTTCTGAATAAAGTAAATTATTGTTATTATTATTATTATTATTAAATGAGTCTGGAGCTTTGACTATGCATGTTCACGGGATAGGTTATCAAACCATTGGCAGTGGGTGTAGGAGTAGGGGTTGGGCAAGTCACGACGATCTTACACCCATATTATACCACTCCTCACACACACACACACACACGCGCACACAAACACACAAAACCGCAGTAACCTCAGTTTACAGTCATGGGTGGAAATATCAGTGGAGTGTTAGAGGCGAATACTGGAGTAAACCAAGGCTGGTTGCCTACTATGACACATGATGGTATTGCTAGTTATGTTGGATTGTATTATGCGGAAATGTATGCTTGGAGAGCCGGGGGACAGTTAATATGCTGGGCCAATTTCGAGACTATGGATTTTCTAGTCTTCATGGATGATTTATTTCTGATATTAAAAGATTTCGAAGACTTCCAGACGAAATCCATCAAACCAGTTAAAGGCGCTGCCAATGAACACAAAAGTTGAACTGATTTGATCAATATAATAATAATAATGATGATAATAGTAATTTGTTTTATTCCAGAAATAATACTATTGGTACAGTGGGAAATTTTCAGCACACATCTACAATATTGCATCTAATTTTATCAAACATTTAAAAAGAAGTATTTCAAAAACTAAATATATAAAAAACCACAACAACAAAAAGCACACAAAATAGCAAAAAAGATATGAAAAGACACCAAGAAGTAGAAAGGAAAATAAACAACATAATAAATAACATCTAAGTATTGGGTAGTGGAAGCTATGATATGTTTATGCGTGGTGAACAGTAAAACTATATCCCACAAGAATTTATGAAATGATATTAGGAATGTTTATCGCCATGATGATCAGTTAATTTGATTGGACAACACTAAACTATCATAAAATAAACATTTGAGGTTGTTTTTTTATTGTCAGCTCTAATGCGGTGTTTGTAGTGGTAGTGTGAGTAACCCTGCATATTACAACATTTTTAGATGGGGATAACGGCATTCACAAACAAGCTTGTCAGTTACTATTGCCGAACAAAAAACAATCACAAAACTAATATTACAAGATGGTTAATGACAGGACAGTTTTGTAATACTCATAGTGCTAATATACTCGGAACCAGTAGATACACAAAAGAAGGAATAGAATAAAGAATAAAAAAGTAAGCCAATGTTAATAATTTTAGGTAGCTAAGTATGTTTAAGAAGGTTGTTCACTATAGAATACAAATAAGAGGGAGATAAAAGAGCCAAAATTATGATATTAACAGCAAGGCAAGTCATAGGTTTCGCGCTTAACATTGTCTCTGTCACTAAGAACACGGGACAAATGAGGCATCGCTGAGTTCCTATACTTGGTTGTACGAGCATATATATTATTTTGTACTGATTTCTGGTTCTACCTGATGAGATACAAGAAGAGAGTTGGGAATAAAGGGGGTGTTGGGGGTCGAAGAGTATGGTTTTAGACCACTTTTCGCATGTTTTCAGATACCTTTCTACTAATGCAGTGACGAGCTGACTGAGTTTTACACCACTAGTCCTATTAACTACCTTCAACATCCTTCTGAGGATGGTACAGACCTTTCTCACTAGCCCAGGAAAGACTAATGGGGAGCAGTAAAGTAGAATAGGTAAGATACGAGAGTTGACAAATTGTGAAAGTAGAGGTTGGGTGATTCCAAACGGTCTAAGTTTCTTAATGTAGTAGGTTAGACGGAACACTTTCTTATAAATCGTTAAGATATGAGACGACCAAGTAAGGCCGGAAGATAGAACTAGTTCGAGGTATTTTGCACTAGACTTAGTTCCAATTTTAGTCCCCCAAAATGCTACAGGCTTCTTGAGTACTTACTAGTACTCATAACCAACCAACAGTGTTTAGTCAGTGAGTTCTCCTTTACTGGTCAGATACTTGGCGCATTTATCAACGAAAGCATTTCCAACTTGGCACTACAGACAACACGTGCACCACTTCTCTGCATCCATAGTGAACGCCAAACTGCCGGCGAGAAATAATCAGCAAGAAGAAATTCTGGAGTTGAATCCATCGCTCAAGAAATGTGTGTAGGAAAAACAGCATACTAAGTGGAGAAATATGCTTTCCTTATCAACGTGTTCCCCATTATCGGTGGACTCTATTCTAATATACAGTTTTTACATGAAAATCGTTTTTACTATTCAAAGGGTTAATTTAGTTGATCAATTTCAAGCGAACGTAGTGGGGTTGAAATTATGAGGTGAAATGTATGAAAACAATTAACTAGGAGATGGTAATAACAAGATATCTAAGTTTTGAAGAAGGGTTCAAATTGATTATTCACGGTATTCCAGATCATATGATTCTTAGACGTTAACAACAAGTTATTACACAATCAAAAAGTTTGTAAAATAGCAATGATGAGGAGAAGAATTATATCAGATAGAAACAAGTCGATCAAATTAGCTGGAATTGTGAAAGTTAACGCAGTCAAATTATGCTGACAAGAGGGAGGGAGCAATCGTTTCTAATAACTTTTAATACCATATTATGTAGTTGGCCATGGCAAAGATATGGGCGGTACAAATTCCTCTTGAACACACACACACACACATGCACACAGATTTGACTTGTTCAGAGGACTGTTAGCGTCGACTTGATGTCGAGTCAATATTGATGAGATGGGCTAGCACTGAGCTGAATATAGCAGCTTTACTCGGACCTTTACCAATCGAGGATGTGAGGAGGTGCTCAATGATTCGACTATGAACTTGACTCAACAGACGCCCAATGAAACCAGTTGCGAACGGTCACTTAAACTAACAAATACACATGAAAGGGGTGGAAATAGACATTCTGTCTTTTTTTCTTGAACTACATATTGGTTATCTAGGGAATATATAGCAAAACCTTGCTCAGTTGAAAGTCCCGTTTGCTAACGACTAAGAATCATCTGATATGGAATGCGGTGAATAATCAATTTTCGACCCTCCATCAAAATTTAAACATCTTGTTAATAACATCTATTAGTTAATCGTTTTGATAACCTTTATTATTATTATTTCCCTTAATTACTAGAGGAAAATAGGGCTTCAGTGGCACGTCGCCATTGCATTCGATTCTCTGCCAAAGTCTTCACCTGGCTCCTAGCGTCTTTCCACATGCTTTCATCTCCTCTTCACATCACCTCCTCTATTTCAACCTCGTCGCTTCACATTCGACTTCAACCCAAGCATTGGCCTGGCGTGCTTTGATGTCATTCAATTGACGTTTTGTTTTCTCCGATTATGGCCAGTCCAATCCACCTCCACTTCATCATGAAGATTTGTTGCACATTTGGTTCGCCCACTGTCAGAGATTCATGTCGCTGATCGTCTCTGCTGGCCGACCATCTGATCTTGAGCGAAGTACTGAGCGGAGACAACTGTTGACGAAGGTTTGAATTTTGTTTGAAGTGGCCTTCGTGTATTACTATTTATAGTATCAGATAGAGTATTTTACGTTGTATTATTAATACTCTTTTGAAATAAACCAAAATTAGTATTGTATAGTAATTATTTCGATTGAATTTGAGATTTTCCCGTCGATTGATTGGACCGAAGTGCTCGGTCTCAGGTTGACATGTCGGCTTCTTGTGCAGATGCTTCGACGATGTCTGGGCATTTAGTTAGTATACAATTGGTGGATGGTGGCTAGCAGTGGAATCCAGGATGCGCATTTCGTCCTATTTGGGACTAACTAAATGCCCAAACATCGTCGAATCATCTGCACAACAAGCCGACATGCCAACCTGAGACCGAGCACTTCGGTCCAATCAATCGACGGGAAAATCAAAAATTCAATTCAATAATTAATATGACTCGTTGCACAAGAGGTGGCTCTCGTGGCCCAAGTGGTGTAGTGAATAACGCTTTGACGTTTGATACTATGGGTACTGGGTTCGAGCCTCGGTGGTTGGAACATCATCACTCACTGAGAAATGCAAACACACCCAGATGACGAGTCCTAAATAGGACGAAATGCGCGTTATCATGGATTCCACTCCTAGTCACCATCCACCAATTAAATATATAGTCATTATGTTTACAAAATTATAGAAGAAATAGAAAAATAGTGAAATCTATCAAGAAATTATCTCACGGGTTGTTTAAACCCACTACAAATTAAATGTACAATAGCTTTACATTTCTAAAAATATTTTCAAACAATTTTAACCTTGCCCCGTTATGACTAATTACGTAAAGGTCAAACTATTTATACGTAGGTCCATATATATATATATATAATAGCACGTTTATCATCAGAAGTATTTTTAGCGAAACTGCACGTCATACCATTATAAACTATGGTGTCTAAGGGACTAGCGCAGATTACCGTCGCTTCAATTTATCGACTGATAGTTCTTGGAGTATTCACAACATTCACTGTCATCGGCTATCAATATCTGTATCCAGATGAACCATTACGTATTACAAATCTCTTGGTACTTTTTAAGTATTTAACATTTATTACTATGGTAAGAGTTTTATATCATATTGCAGCATTCCACGACTTCTTGCGTTCCCATTCTAGACTATGACAGAAGTGTACTTCTGTGTGGCCACATTACTACAGGCATGTAAATCGTTTAAAGTTCATTCTTACTTCTATACACTGGCGTTCACATACTGTTCGGTAAGTCATATCATGTAATATTTCTTGTATGTTTTGGTTTTGTTATTTGAATGGTTTTATATGTTTGATAACGGATTGATGTGGGTTACAGAGATATTGAGCACCTTCAGGCTGAAGTCAAGGTGTATTTCGTCCCTGTTTGTGACTCTTCAAGAGCATAACACACTCATCACACATTGCACATTCAACTCAAAATCAACAGGTTATGTAACAAGCGTGCTGACCGTTCACTCATTGGAATTCGGGTGGTGGGAGCATAACTGAATAGTTGAACTCTAACTTCTATCAATTTGGATGGTTTTCTTGTTGCACTAATGCTGAGGGATCGCTTTGTGTACCTTTCATCCTCCCTTCTATGTGAGACATTCCTGCGTCACTTAGTCGCGAGATATTCTTCTGGACTGCCTCGTCCACGCCCACTCTTTACTAATCTATATATGTCCAAATCAAGTTCACTTTGAACAGTTTGAAGAAATTTAGCCATTGCTTTTATGATATTCATTATGATAAAGGTTTGTTGTGTATTTCCCAATGAATGAAAAACAAAACGATACTGTCGTTGTTTTTACTGACGTTTCGCTATTCAATGCTGCTAACAGATTTCTCAAAGTATTATTAAACCGGAATTTACAAAATCTCAGCATATATATAACAAACAGTTAAGAGGTGAGAAAATAGATTTAGGTCAAGTTAAAAGGACATATTGAAAGTCAAAATAACAATGAAGATCACTAAACCAAATATCAAATATAATAGTCCATCTGTTATGATATCAACACCAAGTTTACTAACCTGATCATTGTTTTTCAGTCTGAGGGTTTTTTTTTCGTTGTCAAGTTGGTTATTTGGTAAAGATAACAAAGCCAAGTGTAGATTGTGAAATACTTGATCATCGTTCGTCAATCTGGGGTCATTTTTCGTTGTCAAGCTGGTCAATTGGTAAAGATAACAAAGCCAAGTGTAGATTGTTGGATTTGATCAGCGTTTAACATTATAAAAGTAGTGTGTGTTTGCATAGTGAACTTGCTTATCACATTCGTACTGATTTTGTCACTTCATGGGGGAGTGGAGTGAGGTGTTGTAACCAGGTTAAATTCTGCTTTAGTCCATCATTCCTGTTTAGATAATTTGGATTCCACTTGATATGAAGTGTTTCTGATGAGATGAGATGTTTTTTGTGATTTCTGAAACATTTCTGGATGATGACTTCAGTATTTTCAAAATCAATTTTTGTGGCCTGATTCTATAGCGTGTAAGCAACCTATGACTAATGATTTTTCAAGCTTTTCTAGCTCACGAACTGGATTTCTCGGTGGTCGAACAGATGCTCTACCGTGTTCATTTCTTCTGATTTTGATTTATCCCTGGTGATGTTTGTCCGATGTAGATCGCATCACATTTCAAGCATTTTATTTTAAAGATACAATTAGATATAGAATCTTTCGGGATTCGGCCTTTTATAAGGTCAAGGTTGTTTCGTAGTGTGTTTGATGTTTTGAAGAAAACTCTAATGTCGAGCTGTTTGAGTACTCTTCTGATATTATCTCTCCTCTATATGGAATAACGACTGTTGAGGTCCATGTTTTCGGAATGTGTTTTCGGTCATACTTAGTGTCTGTGTTAACTTTGGTGATGAAGTTCCTTGGGTAGTTGTTTTGCTTGAGAGTTTCAGTAATGTGTGATGTTTCTTCTTCTTCTTTTTCTTTCTCATCCGTTACTAATCTACTTTAGAATGAAAGTTACTAAAATTTGTCGATGAGTTGAACATGATCTCACCAAGCCAACTAATTATTGATACTGCTAGGTAGGCAGACAGACAGACAGAGAGAGATATTCACGAAAGTCATCTTGTCGAACACTTAGAACCCACTTTGTATACACTGCCAACTGTTTCTTTTCTTTTCATTATCAAGGAGGACTAGAAGTAATTTTGAATGACGTTATGGTTGGATGATTAAATATAGAAACTTTTCGATATCATCATGCATCGGAAGGCATTTTAGGTGATGAGGAGACTGTAGGGTACGAAAATGTAGTAACTTACCGGGAGATAGTAGGCAGATGTCCCTGTTTATTCTTTAGTAATATATTGTTGTTACTGGTCATACCGAGTTCACATTTCCAGTGTTTGATGATATTGTAAATTTAATAATTTCCATTGTAACATTGGGAAGACAATATTCAGCGAAGAGACTTTTCCCAACCAAATTATTTTCAAACAGTAGTGCCAACCAATGAGGAAGTTAAAACTGAAGGGTGTGAGTACACACAATAATAATAATATCAGAAGTAGTAATTTGAAGCGCACTCATAAACATATTCCTGTTTAGCTTGGGAAAAGAGCAACCAAATCATTAAATTTTGCAATTCTGTCTCATCTAGTGGATAGCGAACACAGCATCAAAGTAGATGAGTCATTTACAGTTGTGTATCGAAGACCGAACCATCTCCTTAGGGGCACACGATTAAGCCTCCTAGCTATAGCTAAGGCTTTAAAGAGAGACTGTACCTATGTATACAGCAAAAACGTATTCACTCTCTTTGTCTACCCTAGCTCATTATAAGATCACCGGGATCATAATTTTTCGTACTATTATTATTATTATTATCATTATTATCATTTTGTGATATCATGTCTTTATTAACCATTTCTCCATCCAGTTTATTTCACCTCATTGTTATCCTGAATTTTTGTCAACCATTATGATTTTGTACTACATCTACCAATTCTGTAACATGTTATTACAATTAAGCCTCTTTATTTTATCATTAAACATTATCGGTCAGCCTTCACATTCAGTGTCCCCTTTGTTAATATGTGTGTTTGTATGTATTTCGTGGTTATCGCATTTCTCTCACCCCAGGGACGTTTGTATTCTGTTGACTATGAAATAAAACTATATCACCCAATTGTTCATTCACACTTCATCACATTATTCTGACTAAACACCCTGTACACATTTGATTGGCTATGTTAACTAATAGGCTATCTCATCTCAACTTACACATGCACCCCAATACAGTTTCTGATACTATTTTCATTTGTCTCTATTGGCTATATGTACTCTATTATGCATGAATTTATAACTGTAGAGCCTGAAGAAGAAGTTATCGAAAACAAGTGTTCGCTTAAAATCTTGTTATGATATATAGAATAGTTCCTAAGATGAATAGATGTTGAGATGTAGTGTATACTTAACATGGTCTCTAATCTAACGAGTTACAAGTTAACATTACTAAAATATATTTCATTTAGAATGCCGTGTGGGACAGATGTGGGAGACAACAGATGAAAGTGAGAATTGCCATAGTAAGGATAGTATGAATAATAATCACAGTAATGAGGGAAAGCTACTTTAACTAACCAAATAAAGAGCATAAAATAAAAGAAATAAATGTCCATCCCTCTTCGGCCAAGGCAGAGGTAGAGAATCGAACATGCTTCTTTTCTACACAAAGGTCTAGCTGGCTTTCATGAATGAATGAATGAATGGTCAAGCTCTCTAGTGTCTTTAGATGTCTATAACGAAGAAAAAGCAGCATATGTGCTCGGATTCGATAAATTCGATCTTAAAATCATGGTCGAGGCTGGTACAATGATGACACAGAAGTCGATGATGTGTTCTTGAGTAGAGACAGCTGGATTATGTTCTTGTAGCCCGGGCCCACTTATCATTATAAATGATGGTTTTCATATGAATTTCATACCGTGTTACACAACGTTTTATATTAGCCTACAAATCGTATAATTACATTCATTCTCCCACCATCCATACACCTTATGAATTATTCTATACACATATATATATATGTATATATAATAAAAATATTTTAATCGCATTTCAAACTACTAATATTATTATTCTATGTATTCACACCTCAGTTTAAATTCCCTCATGTGATGTAATTTCTTAATATAAAAAGTCATATATTATGTATGTATGTGGCTGTGCAGCCTGGAAAAATAATTTGGTTATGAAGAGTCTTTTCTCTGAATATTTCCTTCTTATTGTTACAATTATTATTAGCATTATTATTTTTCCTTTGGGTTCCTAGTGGAACATAGGGCTTCAACTGTACGTCTCCACTTGCTTCCGTCTACTGCTGTACTTTTCATGTGCATCCATCCATGTTAGTCCATACTGTTTCAACTCCTCTTCACACGATCTCTTCCATATCACCCTTTCACTAACGGCTCACTCACCACTTCTTTACAGGTTCCACTCGAGCAATGACCTGACGTGCGCTCGATGTCACCCAGCGGCCTCCTCAGCGAGTGTCAAATCCATCCATCTCCACTTTCTCCTGCATATTTGTTGGTTGGCGATTGGTTCTTGTTTTCTTTGTTTGTTCACATAGTTTCCTACAGTTGGTGATTCTTTCCAGCCAGGCCATCTGATCTTTAGTATAAGGGCAGTGAAGACAGTTGTTGATAAAGGTCTGAGTTAGCCTGTTGGAAACATTCTTTGTGACCCGCCCGCCACGTTTCTGATCCGTATAGAAGAACTGACCAACTTGGCGTTTGCGTTGAAAATCCGACAGAACTTTGTTGTTGATTCTGGCTTAGTGACGAAGATTGGTTTCCAGATTGTTTTCAGGTTGATGAATGCGTGTGTTTCTCGCCTTCCCGATTCTCGCTCGATTTGACATCCTCGTCCGTTCCGACTGCTTGTAGTTGAGACAATACTCCCTAGATAAATGAGTGAATGAAGTAACCTCTTTCAAATCCCTCCCGTTGATGGTGACTGGCGTTGGATGTTGCTGCTGTTGTTATCGTTGGCTGGTTATTTTCATAACCTCCGTCTTGTCTATGTTCACTTGGAGTCCTGTCTTCGCCGTCTGCTTCTTCGACCAGTTTGTCAGTTTTCGCTTGTGTGACAATTTGTATGACATCAAACATAAATCATCCACTGGAGAAATCCAGGTCTTCTGGGTTCTTCGCTTCTGTCCAGGATATCCCTAACTTCTCGTTTCCCACTGTCAGACGAATAATCCAATCCACCACAATTAGGAGTATCATTGGTGACAATAAGCACCCTTGTCTGCATCCTGTGTTTATTCCAAACGCCTCGCTGAGGTTTCCGTTGTGGATCACTTGACATGTGCCGTTGTGGTACAGCTGTTGAATAAGGTTGATGAATATTTAGGCGCTGCACGCCGTAGTACTCGAGTAGTTTCCAAATTACCTCACGGTCAACGCTGTCTGTCGAAGGCCTTCTGAAAGTCTATAAAGCTGACGCAGTGGTTTGATTGCCATTCCATGCTTTTTTCTGTGTTGATGATGCGTAGTAATGTTACAATGGGAATAATAAAATTCACAATGTCATCAAACAGTGGGAATATAAAATTAGTATGATTAGTGACAGCAATATATTATTAAAGAATAAACAGGGACGTCTGCTGCTTGATAATAATTTGGTTGGAAAGATTGTTTTCTCTGAATATTGACATTATTACCAATGTTAATGTCCTACTAGGCATTTTTCTCTCACCTCACACGAGCTTAAGGAGAAAATCAAGTGGAATTTTCCACCTTTCATGCCGGGTATCTTAGATTTATCCAGACGTCCTGTCTGGAATAAAGCAGTTCTCATTACTGGAATAAAAGACTCCGTGGTTTTGAATTTACCATTAGCGATGATGGAGTCGCCAGTGTCCCGCTCTCTCTCTCTAACAGACACCGAAACACCGGCAAACTCAACCTCACCTCATTTCTGCCGGTGTATTCTATCCATTACGCAAGGTGTATCAGTGCACCGGCAAAGAATCCATTGAATCCAAACCATATACGACATGGTTGGTAAGTATTCAACCTAGTTTGTATAATGCGTTTACTTGTCGGAGAATTCCTTCTTTTTTGCATCACCTATATTTATGTCTTTCTTCTGCCTTTCTTTACTTGTCTCTTCAATATAATAGACAATTGCTGTGCTGTACGTCACTGTGTATGCAGTTGATTCAACTGTGGTGACTGAAAATCCTGAATTGAAGGCAATGCCTTTATGGTTCAATCATGCAACTGTAAGTTCATTGGATTTTTGTTAGTGTTATTATCATCACTGTTTGATTACGCTTTTGAAGAAACAGGATTCATCTCTTGTGTATCTCTAGTCGATTGACATTTATATTGGTGTGAAATAGTCAGACTCACTTGGCGTGTCACCTCTTAGGTGATAAAGCTGTTCTAACGATTCGAAATCGATATTATTTGATGAATTGTGATTAATAGCGGCATTTACAATTCTCATTTAGTCCTACTCAGGACTCAAATCGTTATTTGCTGGACAACTTGGGAGAAGGTGGGCTATTTATCTTAATCGTCAGACATTATCGCACCTTCCCTAGTATGATTAAACATGTTTACAGACGCCAACATTTTTTGTCGCTACTCAATCAATGGGGAAAGCAAAAAATGACTCAGACGAAATAATCACCTATGCCTGTTGCAAAAGAGATGTATTTGTCGTGGTTCAAACCTGATAGACCTGGTTGATAAATCTTCGGTGTTTAGAACAACTGGTGCTGAGTTCGAGTTCCATCGCTGATACAACCGTCTACTGAGGATTCCATCTTCCAGATGAACACATACCAGTCACCGTCTACTTCATAACATCGCTTTCATCATCCTTTGAATGTCACTACATCGACCAAGCAGTAGATGTCGTTTAACATACGATGAAGTCTTGAAAGTAGTTTGCCACATGAGTAGGACTGGAGTTCTGTGCTAGTCATCATCGACTATTAAAACGTTATACAGTTATATACAGTCAGAGAGCCTCTGTTTATTGACTCAACACCGTATAGCACTTCTGTGCGATATCATCCCAGTCCTTTCGCTAACTGGATATCCTTCCCAGGCACGTACATTTTACGAGCATTCCGCATCCCCATTCTGATCCTCATTTCATTGGTAGGAGACACAGTGGCTGCTTGACTGACATCTCGAAGGCATTCAGCAGCGCAAAGATTCATTTCACTTCTCCCTTTGTCAGAGAATAATACGTTTCTTGTTTTTCAATATTTCACTTGTGCGTTGCAGTTTATGTAACAGTCTCATTGGTTTTCTGAAGTAGTGTCGTTAGCTTCACATCCAACCCTCCCTCTTTTCTTGGGCTTGTGATTAGCTAGAAAGCTAGGAAGCTAGTAAACCAGGAGAAGTTAAACACTGCCCACGCGAAATAGAAATCACACATCGCGCCTATTACAGATATGAGAATTGGTAACAAGCAACAACGAGGAACGGCAGGGGAAGTGGGAAAGTTGGTAAATATGTATACGGCAAATTGTGAAACAATGTGACTCAATCCGTATGACTATGAGCAGCAGTTGTTTGTACCCGAAACATTAGGCAGTTGTTTATACAGCATGACTGTACAACACTTAAAATAAACTGATCATATATGTAATTCAGATGACTGAAAAAGGGGCTGTATTCGAATTACTCCATACAGTATACACTACAGTGAGTGCGACTAGATAAAATAATCGTCCCAACGACAGTCACGATACACCACCGGCTGTATGCTGTAACTTCAAATTACTGGGGTGAGTGGGCTTACCATCCAGTCGGAGGATATTGAAATACAGTGTCACATAAATTCTGTCTGGCTTAAATTTCTCGACTTACTTCCTTATGACTCTGAGCTAATGGTTGGTGACACTTGTTGTGCACGCCTAAGTTTTCAATGAGCTTCTAAGTGATATACGTTTGCGACAAAACATACCACCCACCCACCCACCTATATCCACATACAAACACAACTAACAAACTCAACTTCTGCATATCAGACGTGCATTGATTCATATCACCAAACACTGGAATAATGAGAAGGTCCTTAGTGTAGCTATATGTTCATGTAAAACTTTTCCATATCGACGAATTCATCTTCAGAAGCTGTACAAACGTATTTGTATTTACATAATTGCTACAAGTATCCAGAAGTGGTTTCTAAAGTTAGGGAAAACATTACGTAATAGTCGATGGCGAAACGCATGAAAAGGATTCCAATTCAATATGGTGAAATGAGTTACTCAGTGAGAAGCAAAGTAGCTGGATATCCATTTGACATGTGTGAAGAGGGTGAGAAAATGCACAAAACGAATATGTAGAAGTGATCATGAGGAATTAATCACTTAAAATGGAATGTGAACAATTAGGAAAGCGTTCATGTCCTTGATAGAAGAAGAAACCGAACAAACCTCTCCTGCACACATATTTCTGGGTTGTATTGACGTGATACTGCCAAAGTCTCTTGCATATACAAATCCTGAATTCTAACACCCATGGATTCATTCAGTTTTCACGTTGTCGATAATTATCAAAGAACGACTGTGGTGGAGCCAATAATTGTCTTCCGATTTCTTCTTGATAACGGTATGTCGAACAATATTCAGGTCTATGCTTGAAAAGTGTACGCAATGTGTGGAGAGCATGCATAAGTAACTCTTTCGGAGCGAGTGAATTTATGAACGTATTTTGAAGTAGCCTAAACTGGTAGTTCGTCATTCACACATTCACCGACTTTAGCGATCGATCGATCGATAGCCAATACGAAGAGAAGGCGTTTCTTAGAGATCCCGATAAGTGGAATCATATTTGTTAACTTCATTTTTATTAAACAATGATTTCGTCAGAACCATTACGATGCTTTCAGACTTCCGGTTCAATGTTAGCGTTTTACTCAATGAATATTGTAGGATGTCTATCTTCAATGCCGACTTGTCTTATTCTCGGCAGTTTTTTGCAACCTCTGAAGAGATGTGATTTTATCGACAGAGAGGAAAGTTTCATCACTGAACTGTCTTTTATTTTCTTCATCACTCAATCGATGCGCTTGATCTTTTGATAATATTTTTCACATTAACGGAATGTATATTACCATCAAATTGTAAATTTTCATTTTATCTATATGTAGCACTTCTTTGAAATAGTGGCAGTACTTGTCGATGCATTCGTCTGGAGACCGAAATCAGTAAAATTGTCGCATTCCTTCATCCTTTGTTATCTTCTGTTGGCAGGCTACAATATCTAGTAAGTGTACAGGTGAAAGGATTTACCAATTTATTTTATGATATTTGTGTAAACTTCGGATACTTTTTATCATATGCGATCAATTCCTAAATTAGTTTCTTCATTCAATGCGTGACGCTGTAAGTGAAAATGTACTAATCACCTAATGATAGTTTTTCGAAAACAATTCTAAAATAGCAGCCACGAATCTCAATATTTACATTTTCATGAGTTCGTTTTTGGTGTGATTCGATTTCTTTCAAGCTTTTGATCATCATTATTATTATTGTTGTCGTTCCCTTGGGTTCCCAGTGGAACATAACACTTCAACTGCACGTCTCCACTTGCTTCTGTCTTCTGTTGTACTCTTCACCTGCATCCATGTTAGTCCACACTGTTTCAACCCCTCTTCACACAATCTCTTCCATATCACCCTTTCACTAACGACCCGCTCACCGCTTCTTTTACGGGTTCCACTCGAGCAATGGCCTGACGCGCGCTCGATGTCACCCAGCGGCCTCCTCAGCGAGTGTCAAATCCATCCATCTCCACTTTCTCCTGCATATTTGTTGGTTGGCGATTGGTTCTTGTTTTGTTTGTTTGTTCACATAGTTTCCTAGCCCGGCCATCTGATCTTCAGTATAGAGTGAAGACAGATGTTGAAAAAGGTCTGCAACAGGCTGTTGGAAATATTCTTTGTGACCCGCCCGCCACGTTTCTGATTCGTATAGAAGAACTGACCAACTTGGCGTTTGCATTGAAAATCCGACAGAATTTTGTTGTTGATTCTAGCTTAGTGACGAAGATTGGTTTCCAGATTGTTTTCAGGTTGATGAATCTGTGTGTTTCTCGCCTTCGCGATTCTCGCTCGATTTGACATCCTCGTCCGTTCCGACTGCTTGTAGTTAAGACAATACTCCCTAGATAACCACTGAAAACGAAAGAAGGAGCACTGAACAGCTAGTTGTTTCATCAACCTAGTCATTTGACACTTACCAGAAGTACGCACCTAATTCCAAGATTAGAACTCAATACCTACCAGTTACACGGAAAGCTCGCAGACTATTCAGATAGTGTGACTTAACCGAACGGCACATGAATTTCACTTTTTTTATCAGTTCGATACTTTACCGTGACCACCTACAATCAGTGTTCCCACTGGTGAAAATTCCTTCTCACTCCCGACAGGATGGATGAGGGTGATGGTCAACATTTTTCACTGAAATTTTAAGTAAATTGATCCTGCATTCAATAAAGAATCTCTGCCTCATCAAATATGCGGTTGAAAATGTAGATGGATGAGATACAAGCTGGGAAAGCTATTGGGTGGCTTCGTCTGCTGGCACATCCGTCCACTGGAATCCACTGGAGTGGAAAACGACAGATTAGAAAACAGATGGCGTCAATGTGCTCACTATGCATTTATGAATGCAAAAGCCAATGACCCCAAGGAATATAACTCTGTTCAATTCACGAAATAGCTTCTTACATACTGATCCTTGGTTTTCGTTTTCAACCTCAGAAGGGCATATCAGCTTTTCACAAAACTTGCCTTGAAATTGAAATCTGTGTAGATGATTATTGTCGCTGTGCATAAGTCGTGTTCATCTTTTGTGTGATTTAAATTTTCCAGTCTATTCACCTGTTCAACGTTTGTTTCTTTCTTTGTTCATATAGCATAGAAGTTTCAATATCAGTATTCCACTTCAGTCCATATCCGAAACTTGACACAATATCAACTGGTTATCGATTTTTAACTTACGCAATTACTTGGGCATTGGTTACTATATTCATTATATGCAATTATTGCCTACTTCGTCTGATGAATCGAAGGAGCAGTGATGCTAAACAATCGATTGAGGATACGAAATAAAGACATTTTACACTAATTTATTTCTGTAATTTTTCTTTAATCAATAAAAGCAAGCTTGAAAACCTCAGGATCTAAATGAATTCTTTCAAAGTTCAGAGTTATCAGTGTGTAATGTTCTTTTTTTTCCTAGTCTGAGTGGTGGGGGAGGGGGGAATAAGCGTCATGCTGCTTTGAATCTTGTCTACTGAAAGTGTCTTCAGTGTAGTCAGCTTAGTAGCAATGTTACAGTTTGCGTGCATAAATGGTCATAACCATCGACAAAGTAAAGTTGTCCGGTGTACGGAACATATTCACAGTATTGATGAGGGAGTATGTAAGTGGACTCTTTGAACGCATGAATTCCGTGCTAAAGGCAATTTAGTTTACGCAAGGAGTTTGAAATTTATGATTGTGTAAAACACAATGTCACAATTACATCATCAAAGGAAAGTGAGTTGTGAAGATAGACGTTAGTGTTTACAGAAACCTTGGACATTTAAACCGATATTTGTATGCCAAGAAGAATTCACAATGATAGTGTAACAACAGAAGACAAGGGCCAGGCAACAGATCGTTTTATTATGAAAATCAACACGTATTTATACATCTTTCAACTACATTATTATAGACAAGCGCAGTCATCTGATTGGTTGTTTAGGTAGACAAACGCAGGCTTCTGATTGGTTGTTTCGGGATTCCTTGACAAATAGAGTTCTCTCTGCGAATCATATTTTGCCACGTTAACTTTGCTGTGATTGGTTGTTGACTCAGCCTTGTTCATATTTTCTCACGGCCCATATTAGTGACCTAGACCTTAACGTAGATTAGTGCCAACCAATCGGCTAGCAGCCTGCTCTCACCACACTCGTCCCCCCGTCAAATACGTGCGACTGAAGTCGGCTTGATCTACTTGGTGCAGGCGTCATCGTTGGCTTGTCTCGCTGTATCCATTTCTGGAGCTCGCTGACGTTCACGCGCCTCTCATGGTTCGCCATTGCGACTGTGTCTGCGTAACCCCATCTCGAAGTGACCATATATGGTCCTTCCCACTTTGGAAACTGTTTGCCTGACCCTGTCGAACATTCGTCCATACTTCGGCCCACACCTTCATATGCTGCTTTCGCCCGACCTCCCTGCAGCGTCTCAAGTAGCAGCTCCATCGCTGACAGATCTCGAACGCCACTCAACTGCGCAGAAGCCTTGAAGTCCTGCCCGAAGATCCATATGTCTCCATCAAAAACTGCAGGGTATAGGCTTTTCATTTGTCGGTAGGCAGCGACACCAAATGTAACAACAGAAGACAAGGGCCAGGCAACAGATCGTTTTATTATGAAAATCAACACGTATTTATACATATTTCAACTACATTATTATAGACAAGCGCAGTCATCTGATTGGTTGTTTTTAGGTAGACAAACGCAGGCTTCTGATTGGTTGTTTCGGGATTCCTTGACAAATAGAGTTCTCTCTGCGAATCATATTTTGCCACGTTAACTTTGCTGTGATTGGTTGTTGACTCAGGCTTGTTCACGGCCCATATTAGTGACCTAGACCTTAACGTAGATTAGTGCCAACCAATCGGCTAGCAGCCTGCTCTCACCACAATAGGAGTATTCAACTGATAGGGTAGACTACCTGAATAGCCGTGAATTTAATCCTAGTCTGTCCTATTTGTTTCTTTATTTCTCTGATTTATTCATCTCCTACACCACCGACTACATTCATTCATGAAACTTGTACGTTTGTTGAAAATATGCGTATACACTTCGTTGAACTGCTTCATCTCGCCTTATGTCATATTTTCATGGATCATACACGTATTCTAGACGATAATCGAAACTAACTGACTAATTACTGTTCCATCCTATCTTATACTTGTTCCACGCACACACACACACACACACACACAATACACCTCTTCTGATATAATGTGAATTCGCCTTGACTGGATTTATAATTGTAGAGGCTGAGTATATAATAAAAATAAATAATAATGATAGTAGCGATTGTAATACTAATATTAATGACGACACCAAAAAAAAAGGAATCTAAATCATCAGTAGTAATTCCATACAAGGAAGGAACCTCGGAAACGATACGCAGAATTCTTAACAAGGCAGGAATAAAAGTGGCTTGCACTCAAACTCAATTAGAAACAAGCTTTGTTGGTTAAATGATCAATCCTGTGTAGCATATCAAACAAAACCATTGAATTTATCTAATAACCTGCCTTCAATGACTATCAGGTCAAATAAATAGGTGAAACTAGTAGTGTGGTGAGACCAGGCTGCTAGCTGATTGGTTGACACTAATCTACGTTAATGTCTAGGTGAGAAAATATGAACAAGGCTGATTCAACAACCAATCACAGCAAAGTTAACGTGGCAAAATATGATTCGCAGATACAGAACTCTATTTGTTAGGGAATCCCGAAACAACCAATCAGAAACCTGCGTTTGTCTGCAACCAATCAGATGACTGCGCTTTTTCTACTTGCATAAGCTATAATAATGTATGTGAAATATATATAAATACGTGTTGATTTTCATAATAAAACGATCTGTTGCCTGGTCCTTGTCTTCTGTTGTTACAGTAGAAGAAGGGCAGTCAGACTAGCTAAACATTAAAAAAAACTTAGCACAATCTAAATTGGCTGACCCAAATAAGATAAGAAATCCAGAGAATAGTTCAGCCATAGCATTACATGCAGTCACGGACAACCATACAATACAATGGGATGGGATGACAATTTTAAAATCTAATGTCACAGCAGAGTGGAGGGAGAGACTGATGACAGAAGCTTTATTTATCGAATCAACTGAAGAGAATACATGTAAGAGGAATGATTCAATACCTGTTCATCCGGATATCTGGAAAATTATACTACCATTACGACAAATAGGAAAAGACAAAGAAAACTGTAAAAATCAAGTTTCAAAGTCGTCTGGTCACAATTGCTATCATTATGAACAATAAATTTTGTTCGAAACCTCATCAAGTAAACCCTACTTCTGTTTTACTGTTCGATTCATCTAATTAAACAAACTAATATGAAATGTTTGCTGTAATTAACCTTTATTCTGAGAAAACAAAATCATAATCACATTGAAGGTTGTCCTTCTATAAATGTCTGTATAAACGGCCCAGTAGGCTTGCTGAAATACACATAGAGAACATAACTGTCCGCAAAAGTTAAACGGACTCCCCATTTTTCTCTACAGAAAACAATTTTTTCATAGCTTGCTGACTCAACCCTGGTAATTCTTATATGAATATCATACCAAAATTGATACGAATTGGAATCTTTGATAACAACGACAACAACAAGAACAAAGATAAAACATAATATATAACAGGGTATACGTAACCAGGATTGATAAAAGAAGCCCTTCTGATATCTGCCAGTGACAATAATGTCCAAAAAGTCAACACAAAAAATATAAAATAATGCCGACAATAATCACGTGTAAATGACATTAATTATAGGAGAATTGAAATGGTGTCGCCACGTGTATAACAAGCAGGGGAAAAAGAGTCATTCAGTGTGTTGTAATTTTTATGCTTAACAACACCTCTATTACACAGGATGCAGGCGAGCTAAATAGCATGTCATTGAGTCTTTCTACTTGATTGTGCAAGCATTTACTCTTTTTTGTGATGACCTTTACACCTATCTGATGACATGCAAGGCAGGGAGAGTTGAGAATAAAGAGGACTGTGAGAGTTAGGCAATATAGATGTAGATGGTCCATTTCTCAAATGAACTCAGGTATCTGTCGACGAAAATAGCAGCAAATTGCACCATTAATCCATAGGGAAAAGCACAGTTATTGTTCAGCGAAGGAATGTTTGTTTTTAGTGACTTCATTTTCAAGCTGCGCAGTCATTTTTGTATTAAAGAAAATGGTATTGGGAGGCACTAGAAATGTCCCTGTCAATAGTGCACATATTATAAGAATATACTGACGACACCTGCATTATTTGAAACGGCCATTATTCAACTGCCGAGCTTCTTTGAAAATTTAATGGTTTTCACACGTCTATGATTCTCGTTATCGAAGAGGAATCGAATTCTACATTACAGTTCTTGGATGCCAGATGTCAGATAGAAGTGGGGATGGCAAGTTGAAAAGGTTGATTTATCAAAAGCCAACATTTACGCGGCAGTACAATGACTTCAACAGTGGGGCACCTCTAGGTAGAAAGAGAAATCCTATTCATTCTCTTTGCTGAAGAACTTGGAAACACGCTGTATACCTACAGTAGACATAATGTTCAAAAGCCATCGCACAACTCTCTTAAATAATGGATATCCTAGAAGGTTTATTGACAAGAACACCATGAAAGCAACCGTCTCCAGAGAAGTCACAATGCGATAGAGGACACGATTTAAAGGTGTGGCGTTCAAAGCTGTAACTGTGGCTGAAGTAAATTAAAGCCATTTATTGCATATTAGTTTGTTTATTAGATGTATCACACAGTGAGTGAAACAGTATTATTTACTGGATGAAATGATATAATTGATATGATTATGAATAATAAATTTTCTTCGAGACATCATCCAGTGAATAACACAGTTTCACTCACTGTGTGGCACATCTAATAAACAAGCTAATATGAAATTACTTACCACTACAGTACTTAAGTTTTATACATATATATTTATAAAAGCCATTTATCTAAACATATTAAACTGGTTTTATGCAGCTGACTTATATTTACTATTTAACAGCTGAAATATGATTCGACATAGCGTAAGGATAAAATATTACCACCTCTGTGTGAGTAGACTCATTCATATGTCCATGGACAGGTGATTGCACTGCACGTTGTAAGCGTGTTCTCCGTACTACGCTACTTGGTTTGGCTAATGAGAGGTGAGCGTAGGAAGAAAACGAAGTCTTCAATATGTGAATACTTTCTGAACTCAGGTCATTCTGTCACACGTGATTCACCCTTTACAGTTATCTACTGGGCCAAATCCAAGCACTCCGAATGCCTACATTTTCACCACCTATGTATAACCGAAGCTAAAGCTATACATCAACAGAAACCTAAATTGTGTTCCAAAGTTTTTAATTAAACTGCTTT